TTTAAGAGCTAGGCTAATATCTAAAATTAATGTGGTACGTATTGTTTGTTGTGTATATATATATATATATATATACACACACATTTATGTATATGAGTATATGTATACACACACACACATTTAAAAACACAATACCACCCCAGGAGTTTTAGACATTTGAGCGATTCTTGCAACACTTGGGTTCTTGGTCTGACAAAGAATTTAAAACCCAAACTGGTCCTATGTAGTCTAGGATGTCATATATGAGGTTGGAAACTAGGATGCTCAAGACCACATAGGATCTCTTTGGGTTTCAAAATCTTGGCAGACCTGGAACCCAAGAGGTTCAAAACCAGCCAAATATCTACAATGCATAGGATCCAATTGGCTTTTGAAACTTAAAGTGGCTTGGAAAACATGATGTCTAAATCTAGCCTATGTCAGATCAGAGCGCATTCAAAACACTGACAGACCTGGGACCCAAGAGGTTAAGAACTGGACAGGATTCCTGGAATCCATGAGATCCTATTGAATTTGGAATCAGCGAGAGGTGGTATCTGTCAGGTTTGGCAGTCTTGTTTCATCTGAACAGTAGCAATGGGAAAAGATTTTTAAAACAGAGGGGCTACATGCATGTCTAACTTACCTACAGCACTCCACCCATGGGCAGTGGACCACACAGGCCTGGCTTCCTCAGATACCCCAGTGGGTCCAGGTGATAACTGGTACAGCACCCCAACAGTATCTGCCTGACCTCTGGATAGAATCAGAGATTCCAAGGCCAGAAGCAGCATGGTGGTCCCCTAGTCTGACCTGCTGCAGAATGTCCCTGAATTAATCCCTAGTTGAACTAGAGCAGACCTGTTAGAAATACCATCCAGTCCTGCTTTAAAAATTTCAGTGATGGAGAATTGACCAGGGAGGATCTTTTTAACTCTTTATCATCTTTTGGATCAGCTGGCCCCCAGCCTTGGCCAAGGTTTTGTAACTTAGTTGGAGCTGGCAGGTGAGACCTTCACAGTTACTGTGACCTGTGACCAGAGGTGCATAGGGCAGCCCACATTGAAAAAGCCTAGGGTGGGCTGCAAAAAGGAGAGCAGATTCTCCCAAAACTGGTGATTAACACTGTAGTTAGATTCACCCGCCAGTCACAAGCCGTGCTCCAGATCCGCCATACTGGTTATCAAGAAGCCAGAAAGAAAGAAAGAAAGAAAGAAAGAAAGAAAGAAAGAAAGAAAGAAAGAAAGAAAGAAAGAAATCACACAGCCACCTTTATTGCATTCCAATCTTAGTCTCCCAGTCAGCAAATAGGTCCAGTAAAGTGAGAAGTTACTTAAAATTCCATTCACTATACAAAATGTTCTTCTGATCCTCAAAGGGGGGTTGGCTCTTATCCAAAATACAATGCTGTCAGACAATTCTTGATGGGCCATCCAACAGCCTGGATAGTGCTGATGTAATCTGTCTGGGGGTATCACAGCACAGGTTTGAGATATCAATATAACACATATATTTATAACTCATGATACAAAGAGGATGCATACACATAAACAACATTATCATATTTATCAAATGATAACTTTTCCACTGATACCTTACATGGCATATCTGGTACGTTTCATTGCAATTTTATATCCATAATATTATGAATGATCACCCATATTCCATACAACATCACTATTCTTAGCTTAGACATTACCTCTTCACCACCCTGAAATGTTCATGGGCAGGTGGTTTCTCTGGAACAGCTCTTTATTCTACCGGCTTGTTTTCCTTACCAGACACTCTGAAATTAAGCCAGAGTCTCCCCACACTAAATATCCCAGTGATTGGGTCACACGGTGTTTGTAAATTATGTCAAAGCTACCACGCAAACCTTACATAAATGATGTAGTTCAAGGAAAACCTGGGAATCATTATTATTAATTTTTATTTCGGCAGTGCTGGGATCCCCAGTCCTTGCCCAGGAACCTGCTGTGCTAGGCATTCTACAAACACATAGCGAAAAAACAGGCCCAGTCCCAGAGAGCTCAGTGTGTAAGGATATGAAATTGAAAGAAACCTCAGCTGGGATATAGGAGACCTGTGCTTGTTCCAGTTCTGCCACTGGCCTGCTCAGGGACCTTGGCCAAGTCACTTCCCGACTATGTGCTTCATTTTCCCCATTTGTAAAAACTGGAAGACTGCTACTGACCTTCTTACTCAAGTTCTTTGAGATCTACTGATGACAAGCACTAGAGAAGAGCTAGAGATCACTATAGTAATACACAGACTCTTCTATAATATACTACATCTAATGGATTAAAAAATATTTGGAAATCTAGAACCAAAATGAATGTTTTAGCAAACAATCTGGAAACTGTCGGATTTTATGTGGTTTGAAAACACTCTAGAATCCAGTGATGTCCTAGATCCAGTCAGGGATCTAGACTCAATAGACTTTGAGTTTGAACATATTGAATGGCTTACTATAAATGAGATTCCAGAGCCAGCTAGAGATGCAGAATCCAAGAGAGTCAATTAGGTTAGAAAACATTGAGAGACCTAAAACCAACAAGATTCTGGAGCTGGCTAGCAATCTGATGCCATTGATGACCCACTGACTTTGAAAAATTTGAGAGACCTAGAATGTATGGGATTCTGGAGATAGCAGGGAATCTAGAACCAAGGGACATCAGGTTTAAGAAACAGCAGGAATTTAGGAACAATGGGATGCCAAGTTTTCAACTCTCCCTAATCTGGGCACCTTCAGACCATGTCTTCTTTTATGTTCTTGACTTCTGATCCCCGTCTTCCACAAGACTCAGGGGCACTGCTGCCGAGATCATCGACAAAAGCCGCATTAATCAGAGTGAGAAGAGACATACTAAAGACCTGCCAGAACTTCTCCCCCACAAAGAGGTAGAGGATCGGGGAGAAGGAGGCATTGAAGCAGGATGTGAAGGTGTAAATGACCAAGAGAGCACCTGTCACCAACTCTGGCACCTCCTTCTTGTAGAGCTTCAAGCCGTGGTACAGGTGGTAGGGGAGCCAGCCGAGGAAGAATGAAACCACTGCGGCCACCATGACTTTGAAGGGCTTCCCAGCCCACGCCAGCTTCTTCTCCTTCATCTTCAGCCCCACGCGGACATAGCATCCCACGATGGTGCACAAAGGCAGCAGGAAGCCCAGCAGGAACCGGAACACGAAGATGGCCAGGTGGACCATTCTGCCCAGGTCCTCTGTCTTGGTTCCATTCCAGTCTCCAGAGATGTTGAAATTATTGATGCATGCGATCCTGCCCCCGTCCACCACGCGGGTCTCCCGGAAAGCCAGGTAGGGAGTGCTGAGACCGAAGGAGGCCACCCATACGCCCCTGACCAGCTTCCTAGCCTGGGGCATGGTGCGGTGATTCCGGGACCAAATGGGATGGTGAGTGAGTGTGTAGCGGTCCAGACTGATGAGTGTGAGAAGGAAGACGGAGGAGAACATGCCCATGGAAATGAAGGCATTGAGAAGCTTGCACATGGCCAGGCCAAAGACCCAGTGGAAATCCAGGAGGACGTAAACAGCGAAGAAGGGGATCAGCAGGGTGAAGAGGAGGTAGCAGGAGACCAGGTGGAGGAACCAGAGGGTGGTCACTGTCCTCCTCATCTTCAGCCCCAGCACCCACACGTACAGCCCGTTCCCCACCACACCCACCAGGAAGGTGATGAAAAGCAACACAGCAGAGGCCAGGTGCGGGGTCTTCATGGTCTCTAGGGTCTTGCTGGAATTTGCCACTGTGGTTGGTGGGAGTGCCGAGATATCTTGTTCCATGGTACCCTGGGAAGAGACATTAGAGGGGTTGGAAGGGATGACAGTGGCGGCGCAAAGGGAGAGTGGAAGAGGAGAAGGGAGAAATACCAGTTTGCATTAGTAAGGTAACACTGGAGAGGGCCTCGCTGGGCACCCTATTGTCTTCCAGAATATCCAGGCTGGATATTCTGAGAAACTGGGCTATAGCCGGTGGAACTCACTGCTACGGGATAGAGCTGTGAGCAATAGAGGAGGACAAGGCGAATAGCAGACATGGGAGGAGTGGAAAAGGGGACACTCTAGTAGGTCAAATATACAGCTGTGCAGAGAATACCACATAGCTATGATCTGGATGACTGGCTATTTCTGGGAAACAGGGAATGGGCCATGGGGCCTTTCCTGTCTAGGGTGGCCAGCTCCAGTCTGGCCCCAGGGCAGTCGATCAGGCCTACTCAGTCAGGTGAGGATCGGTGCTGTTGACTCCTAGCATGCAGGAGTGGTGTGAGTGCAACTTACTGCTACAAGGAGGAAAAAGCCACCCCTCCCCCACCCCATCTCTTGTGCTCATCTGCTAGTTACAGGAACTGCTGCTATTCTGTGATTCGAGAGAGTGTGCAGTGTCCTTCTCACCTTATTCTAACACAGGAAGTCTCGATCCACCAAGCTGCTTCTCTGTCCCACAGCCGTGCTGCCAGTCCTGCAGCAGGGTCCTCTGGGCTATTGCCTCCGTCAGGGACTGCGCCCCTCACGGCCTTGTTAGCATGGAGTCCTCTGTGTTCTGCAGACTGGCCTAATAGTTAGAGAAGGGCAGGCTGGGAGCCAGGACTCCTGGTTTCTCACCCCAGCTCTGGGAGTTGGGTGGAGGTCAGAACTCCTGGGTTGTGGGAGGAAAGTGGGGTCTTGTGGCTTAGAGCAGAAGTTCTCAGTCAGGGGTATGTGTGCCCTGGGGGTACCCAGAGGTCTGTCAGGGGGTACATCAACTCATCTAGATATTTGCCTAGTTTTACAACAGGCTACATAAAAAGCCCCAGCGTAGTCAGTAGAAACTAAAATTTCATGCAATTACTTGCTTATACTGCTCTATATACTATACACTGAAATGTCAGTACAACATTTATATTCCAATTCATTTCTAATTATATGGGGAAAATGAGAAAGTCAGTAATAGTGTAGCTGTGACACTTTAGTATTTTTATGTCTGATTTTGTAAGCAAGTAGTTTTTAAGTGAGGGAAAACTTAGGGGTACGCAACTGAAGGGGTGGAGTAGTCTGGAAAGGTTGAGAACTGCTCGCTTAAAGCTTTGTAAATGGGGAGCAACTCGTCTGACTGACATGAAATAAGGGGGAAATTTACCCACGTCACAGACCTCACCTACTACCTCTGTCTATTGAGTGCCCATGGGAACCCCACTGATACCCAGTGGCAGGGAGTCTCAGAGGCTAACATCACTGATACTCAGTGGCAGGGAGTCTCCCAGGCTAACCCCACTCTTACTCAGTGGCAGGGAGTTGCATAGGCTAACCCCACTGATATCCAGGGGCAGGGAGTCCCACTGATTTGCCTTTACAATAGCAAATTTCTATGCTTTCTAGGGGGCCTTAGCAAGGAAATTCCCCTTTAGACCCAGCACAGGTCCCATTGTCTCGACTCACCTGGGCAGCGGGTGGTGGAAACACAGACCAGGCACAGAGAGATCCTCAGATGGCATGCGTTTGGCCAGCAAAGCATCCGTGTATCTGTCCCCTGCACCCCAGAGCCCTCCCCTGTGTGTTGAGTTCACTCCCCTTAACTCTGTGTCTTCTACATGCTCCACCCCCACCTGCTCTCTGAGATCCACAAGCTGCAAACTATGAACGGAAATGATGATTGGACACTGTCTTAGCAAAGAAACCAGCTAAGCAACAACCATTGCTTTAAAACTGGCCCCCACTTCCTCCCAGAGCCTGGCATAGAACCCAGGAGTCCTGGTTCCCAGCCCCCCCCCCCCCTCTAATGCACTAGATGCTTGGCCAGGAGCTCAGCTATTGAGGCGTGCCCCCATGAAGAGGAAGGGCCTGTATTTTGCACAACTGCTTGGCTGCCGTGACCCAGAAATAACCCAGCCCTGTTAGCTCACAACAAAATCTGAGTCACAAATGATGCAATTCCCAGCCAAGGATTGGGGGAGTCGAGTGGTTTGGAGTGGGGGTGGGGGACACTGGCAGTAAGGATCCTGGCTTCTGTTCCCAGATCTGGAAGGGGGGTGGGGTCTAGTGGTTAGAGCAGGTCAATAGCTGTGAGGGGTCCTGTGTTATCTACATGTTGAGGGTACATCCCTGCATGAGACAACTCATGTGAAATGCTGCCCCTTCCTGTTCTAGATAAAATCTCAGTCACACCCAGCCCTCCCCAGAGTGTTCGTTACACAGGCCCCATTCTTGGTGCTGGGACCCTGAGACCCCCGAAGGGAACCCAACGCTACTGGAGAAACATCCCCCAATAACATGGTACACGAGACCAAGGTTGAATTCTGAGGGGAGTGGGGTCTAGTGGTTAGAGTGGGGGGGTACAGGTGCTGGAACTCAGGATTCTGGTTCTACCCTGTGTGTGGCTGCAGCCTAATCGGTTTGTGCAGGGAGAAGAATTAAATGCTGTGTTTCTCACTGCTAGGACACGGGCTGCACACATCTGTCTCTCTCTTCCCCTTTCCCTTTCCCTTCCCCTTTTCTGTCTCCTCCAATCCCCTTTGTGTTCTTCCTGTTCCTCCTTAGGGTCTCATGACCCCTCTGCCTTCGCAACAGGCCTGATCCCTCATGGCACCTCTGCCTTCCCATCCAATCTGGCCCGTCACTGTAGCTCCGCCTTCCCACAAGTCCGGCAGCCAATGGGAGCAACTGGCAGCTGCGTCTGGAACCCCCTGATGGGGGTGGGTGGCTGTGGGCTCTGCCTGTGGGTTTTGGGGCTGAATATGAGGATGATGATGACCTCCCTCTTGTCTTTTCATCTGGTCCTCACCTACCTGCTCACATCCTGCTTTATAACTCAGTTCCCGTCTACACCTGCCTGGGCTTCCTCTGGTCTTCAGTATGGGCATGTATGAGATCCTCAACACCTGCCTCTCCCTGGGCATGTTCTTTGCCATCTTTCTCCTCACCTTCTCCAGCCTGGACCGCCGCACTGTAACCCGGGTCAGGAAGCTGGTCATGGGTCTGTAGCTGGTCTCCTTCGCCCTCAGCGCTCCCTAACTGGGTTTCCAGGAACTCCTAGAGATTGAGGGGGCAGGGTTATGCACACGAATAGTTACACCTTCTCTGGAGAGGGGGATGGAGCCGAGACGCAGGCCTGGAGGAGACGTCTCCATCTGCTGCTGTTCAGGGTGAAGTTCCTGCTGGGCTTCCTGCTGCCACTCAGCACCAGCGTGCGATACCAGGGTCAGACGGGACTGGAGATGAAGAAGAAGGGGTTGGCGAGGAGCGGGCAGCCTTTCAAAGTCATGGTGATGCGGTGGTGTCGTTCTTCGTCTGCTGCCTGCCCGACCATCTCTACCATGGCCTGCTGCTCTACAAGAATGTGGTGCCGGTGTCGGTCATGAGCGCCTGAAAGTGCTTAGAGTTAGAGAGAATTGGAAACTTGTCATCCCACCTGTTCCTTCATCCCTAACGGTTCTGAGACCTGATGGGTTTCAGATATCTCAATGTTTATAAACAGAGCAGTGTCCTAGGTATTCCAGATGCCTTGTTATATGCAGATTCCCATGTGTTCTAGGTCTCTCAACATTATGAAACTCAATGGGTGTTTAAGGGTCCCAGATCACTAGCTGGCTCCAGAATCAATGTATTCTAACCTAAGTCTCATGGGTTCTGTGTCATTGGCTGGCTCTGGAATCTTCCTTTTAAGTCTCTCAAAGTGTTCACACTCAATAGAGTCCATGAGTTCTAGATTCCTGACTGGTGCGTGGACCCCAGTAGATTCTATAGTGTTTTTAAACCATATAGAATCCAACAGGTTCCAGTTTCTTTGCTTGATCTAAAAATCTCATGGGGGTTCTAGATTTCCAAATGGTTTCAAATCCATTTGGTGTGGTGTATTATAGAAGAATCTGTGTATTAAATAGCAATAACTAGCTCTTCTCAAGTGCTTTTCCTCAGTAGATCTCAAATAACTTTGCCAAGGAAGTCAGGAGCAGTCTCCCAGTTTTTACAAATGGGGAAACTGAGGCCAAGGTCACTCAGTCCGCCAGTGGCAGAGCCAGGAATAGGACCAAGGCCTCCTGAGTCCTGGTCTCTATTGACCCTAACTCTTTAGAGAGTAAGCTCTCTTGCGCAGGAACTGTCTTTTTCCTCTGTCTTTATACAGCACCTAGTACAGCTGGGTATGGGGCTGTAGCAGGGTGGCTACCCTGCTCCTAAAATAAGAGGAGTGAAAGCAGCAAAGCTAGGCTGATTGAGGAAGCAGCCACAGGTGTGGACAGCTCAATCAGGGCCCAGCTGGCCCTTATAAGAGGACTGGGGGCCAGAAGCTGGAAAAGTCTCTCTCCAGCCCTGGAGGGAGAAGTGCTAGTTGCCTGAGAGTAAGGTACCTGAGCTGGAGCAGTGCTGGGGAATAGGACAAGGGAGCTGGGGAGCTCCAGCCTGGTAAACCCCCAGGCTGCAGGCCTCAATGAAGGCCTATGGAAAGGTACTGGGGCTGCAGATGGGCAGCCTGAGGATAGGCAAAGGCAGCAGGTCCTAACCCCTTTGCCAGTGATGAGTGGCCATTACAGATGGCAGTCTGCCCCAGTGAGAGGGGGCTAGATGATAACTGGCAGTAGCCACTGAGGCTAGGTGGGTATAGAGGGTTGGGGGTTCCCCTGGGAGGGGAGACCCTGAGTGAGGGGGTACTGCTGGGGCAGAACCCTGAGGTAGAGGGCATTGGGGTCTGGGAGAGACACAGGGCCAGCGGCAGGCTAGACAGTGGCCTGCAGAGGGCAGTCCGTACACTGGAAACCAAGAAGACTCCACCTCTCAGCTCCAGCCTAGTTATAAAACTTTGGTCAAGGCTGGGGGCCAGCAGATCCAATGGACAATAAAGACTTGAAAAAACCCTCCCTGGTGGATTCTCCATCACTGGCAATTTTTAAGGCAGGACTAGGTATTTTTCTAAGAGATCTGATCTAGTTCAACCAGGGACTAATTCAGGGAACTTCTGCATGAGGTCAGAGTAGGGAACCACCATGCTCCTTGTGGCCTTGGAATCTCTGAATCTATCCAGAGAACAGGGAGATGTTGTCAGGGTGATGTACCAGTTGTTACCTAGGGCCCACTGGGGTGTCTGAGGAAGCCAGGCCTGCATAGCCACCAGCTCAGGGTGTAGGCTGTAGGTAAGTTAGACACGTGCGTTTTACTGTTCAAACAAAACAATACTGACAACCGTGACAGTTACCACCTCTCACTGATTCAAAATTCAATAGGATCACACAGATTCTAGGAATCCTGGCCAATTGTTAACCTCTTGGGTCCCAGCTTTGTCAGTGTTTTGAATGTGATCTGAACTGATGTGGCCTAGATTTAGACATTATATTTTCAAACCCCGTGTATGTTTCAAAAGCCAATAGGATCCTATGAGTTCCTGATGTTTGGCTGGTTTTTGAACCTTTGGGTTCTAGGTCTGCCAAGATTTTAAAACCCAATAGGTCTAATGTGGTCCAGAACATCTTAGTTTCCAACCTCATGTATGATGTCCTAGTGGACATAGGACCAGTTTGGGTTTTAAAAAACTTGTCAGATGTAGATCTCAAGCGGTTAAAGAACCACTCAAATATCTAGAACTCATGTGGTACTACTGGGTTTATATCTATCTATCTATGTCAGGGTTCCCTCCCGACTCTGGGATACAGATGTGGGGACCAGCAGGAAAGACGCCCTAAGCTTATTTCTATCAGCTTAGGTTAAAACTTCCCCAAGGCACAAATCCTTTCCTGGTCCTTGGACGGTATTGCTGCCACCACCAAGTGATTTAGACAAAAATTCAGGGAAAAGGGCCACTTCGAGAACCTGTTTCCTCAAAATATTTCCCCAAACCCCTTCACCCCTTTTCTGGGGAGGTTTGAGAATAATATACTAACCAATTGGTTACAAAGTGGGCACAGACCAAATCCCTGGGTTTTTAGGACACTGAAAATCAATCAGGTTCTTAAAAGAAGAATTGTATTTACAAAAAAAAGTAAAAGAATCATACCTGCAAAATCAGGATGGAAGGTAACTTTACAGGATAAATAAAAAGATTTAAAACACAGAGGATTCCCCCCTTTGCTCAGCTTCAAAGTTACAAAAAGCAGGAATAAATCTCCCGTTTAGCATAGGGAAAATTCACAAGCTAAAACAAAATATAATTTAATGCATTTCCTTGCCTTTACTTATAGTTTCTGTAATTTTAAATGTATCATTTCAGGTATGTTTTCAGGAGATGTTTTACCTGCTTGGTCTCTCTCTCTGCCCAGAGAGGGAACAAACAAAGAGAGCACACAAAAAACCTCTTGCCCTGCCCTGCCTCGATATGAAAGTATCTTCTTTCCTTATTGGTCCTTTTGATCAGGTGTCAACTGGGTTATTTGAGCTTCTTAGCCTCTTACAGGTAAAGTGATTCTGTGCCTCTGGCCAGGAGGGATTTTATGTTACTGCATACAAAAAGGTTGTTACCCTTCCTTTTATATTTAGGACAATCTATACACACACACACACACACACACACACACAGTAGTACCACACGAGT